ACAACTAAGAGCCCAAACCAATATGACACAAGTCATCCTACATAAAGAATAAAATGCATAAAAACTCAAATACAAAAAGGAACTGGGAGATCAACTTCACTGTTGTTCATGCCCAAAGAAATCATATACCATGGTCTCCAAAAAAACAAAGGAGAAGGAAAGCTTCACTCTCAAACTTTAACTAAGGTACAAAAGTAACATCGCTACTCCTCATTGATGAAATCGTTGAGCAAGGAGATCATGATGCTAGTAATTAATAAAATCAATGACAACCGAGAAAGATACTAACAGGGAGGGTTTATGAAATTGTTGTATCTTAGGTCCAATTGATTATGGACGTAAACACTTTTAATGATTAATACACTATTATTTACGGAAAATCTATAATTTCATTGAATTATTATTCTTATAAACTAAATTAATAAAATCCGTAGATTCAAGTCTTGGAAACTTGTTCATTACATGAGTTACGATTGTGAAACAAATTACATATAACTAAATCTTAAATTATTTGTGTTCATAACTAATAATGTGTGATATGTATATTGTTATTATGTATAGATCAGCAAGTGTCACATTTCTTACTTATAAATTGAGTAGCGAATCTCATAGAGCCCTAAGTTACTGAACATGCATAAAGTTGTCAGGCCCAACATCGCAAGTTTTGGTAATTGATTCCTCTAAGGGCACAAGGGAAGTCTAAAGGAGGCATCATCCAGTATGGCTAAGGAATTGAAAGGAAAGAAGGATAATACCAAGTCTAATGACCCGTGCTATCATTGTGGAATAAAAGTTTATTAGAAAAGAAACTAAAAGACTGACTTCTCGAACTTGAAAGGAAAGAAGTTTTCTGAAACTTCTACATCAGGTGTCTTTGTTATTGAACTTAATATGTCTACTTCATTAGCATTTCAATATTAGAACCACGTCCATATTTGTATAAATATATAGAAACTAAAGAAAAGTAGATCACTGCAAAAACGAGAAGTTTACCTATATGTTGAAGTGGAGTAAGGGTTGCTGCATTACCATAGGGACATACTCCTTGCTATTACATTCATACTTAGTATTAGAATTAAAGACATATTATTTTATTCACACAAATACCAAGAACATTATTTCAATTTCATATTTAGACCTAAATTGTTATTTTTATCTTAATAAGATCTTTTATGATTATAGTAAATTACAAAATTACTTTTATATTCTAAATACTAAGTATTTTATAATGAGTATAGAAAAAAATGCATAAACAGTGACAAACTAACTAATACGCATCTCTAGCACTATAGACCTCATATAAATAAAAAATTGCATTTTTAAATAAAAAAGAAACAGATATTTGGGTTCAACTAATTTTTAATCATTTGACAAATGTGAATTACGCTTATTAAGTAACATGATCAAATTTCCTTTTACTAAAAAATGAAAAAATTGATTACAATTGCTGGGCTTATTACATATAGATGCACATGGACCCATTTCAATTACTGCTAGAGAAGGTTTCTTTTATTTCATCACGTTTATTGATGACAACTCTAGAAATGGTTATGTATACTCGATAAAATTTCAAGCATGAATCTCTTGAAAATTTCAAGGAATTCAAGCGAAAAGTAGAAAAACAATTGATTAAAGGTAAGGCAGGGCGTGAGTTGGGTTAGGTTGGGTACCAAAGCCAACGTGTTCAGTTTGATCTAAAATCAAACAAACCTAACCCAATCCAACATAACCTAACCTAATTATTGGTTTGAACCTAACTCAACCCAAACTGAGCAAGCTTGGGTCGGTTTGGGTTGGGCGGTTGTTTGGACTTCAATTCATGTTGGATCAAATTATTTTTTGTTGAATTTGGACTTTTTAAAGTTTGATACCACCTGAAAATCTCTATTATTTTTAACCTTTATAAGAAATTCTTTTTGAAAAATAATGTATAAATAAGTTTGAAATTATGGAGCATTTTCAGTTTTTCATTTTTTTTTTTTTGGGATTCATTGATTTCATCACCATGTCCTTATTTTTAATATATCGTCAAATAATTTTACATTTGTACATAGCATTCATGCCATTCATCTTGTGTAAAAAAGAAAAGACGTTTATAAATTTTAAGTCAATCTCTTGTCTCCACTATTGTATCTATTTAGGATTTTTCATTTTAGTTATTAATTTTTTTTAATTCACCGGGTTCGGTTGGGTTAAATTGTATTCCGTAACATGATACCCAATACAACCTCAAATTTAATTTTTCAACCCAAATAAACTGATTTGGGTTGGGTTGGGTTGGGTTGGTCGGTTTGAGCAATTTGGATTAATTTTTACCGAGTCCTAGGTAAAGGTATTTTCACGCGATGATCTGGTTGTTCTTAGAGTTGAATTTTTAATATCTAAAAAAGAATGGAATTTTCTTGAATTGAAACTCTGTCACATACATCGCAACATAAATGGTGAATCAGAAAGGAAGAATCGTACGTTATTAGATTTGGTGCGATCAATGATTAGCAATACAAACCACCTAAAACCATTTTGGGGTGATGCATTGAATATCACGTTTTACACACTAAATCATGTCCTACCTAAATCAATTAACAAAACTCCATTTGAGTTAAGAAAAGGCAGAATACCCAACTTGGTTAACTTACCTAATTGAGGATGACTAATCAAGCATTACTAATTGAGGATGACAAATCTACTAATTACACAAAAACAAAGTTAAAAGTTAACTCGAAGAAATGGCAGAAAAAATGGAATTCGAGATGAACTCGATGTATTTTAACAAGGATTAGCCTTGGTTGACTTACCCGATGGGATAAAACTCATAGATTGTAGATAGATTTACATAAAAAATGTCGACATGGATGAAAACATCCATACATACAAAGTAAGACTTGTAACAAAAGATTATAAATAGAGATAAAGAGTTGACTTTGATTAAAACTTTTCACCTGTAACCATGCTTAAGTTCATTCGGATTTTACTTGCAATAGTTATATATCAAAACTATATTTCTTAATGAGAACTTGCAAGAGGAAGTATATATGATATAGCCCGATGAATTGGAGTACAATACCGCATTTCTTAAGTAAGTCAGCTGAGTTTAGTATCCCTTATCCGAATCAAACAAATAGTAAAGTACGACTACTTCGTGATCTAACAGAACGACACTAATTGTGTCATCTCGTACGTACAAATTGTAGACCCATTAGGAGGAAGTCCTTCAGTGTGGTTTGGAAATACAAGATGTGTCAGCTTCAAGCAAAAGATCTACAATCAAACAGGCAACGGGCAACGGGCAACCGGACTACACCCTGGACCAATCCTACACAGCCCAATTGCGTACTAGGTGCCCAAAATCCGGTGGTGACCAAAGCCTTATTTTCTTGGATTTTGTCTCCCCAACAAAGTTCGACAACAGCTACTTCAAGAATCTGTTGGGTTTCAAGGGCATGCTGAATTCTGATTAAGTTCTGGTGACTAAGAATCAAGTCTCATTAGAGTTGATCAAGAAATATGCTGAGAACAATGAGCTTTTCTCTGACCAATTTGCAAAGTCCATGATTAAGATGGGAAATATTTCTCCATTGACAGGATCGAGAGGAGAAATTCTTAAGAACTGCAGAATGATCAGCACTTGAATGTTCCCATGAATGTAGAGCTTGTCTGTTCCTTTGTGTTTTATTCAATTTCTCAATTTATTGCTTTGATTCAGATGAAGTTTAAATGTTCAAGGGTTGTGTCAATTTCTGTGGACATGTGGAGAGATGCAAAAGCTTTTTGGTATATCTTAATGAGAATCCCTTGTCTGCTTCCAAAATCACTTGAATGTTAATTTGGCTAATTCACTACGATGCTCTTCACTTAGCCTCCTTTTGGTAAAATTTATAAATCATATATAAATAGTCTAACTTTATTTTTAACTACACATTCTAATTACCCCCCACAAGTAAAATCCACTTATCTACCACTCTTTTCTATCTACTTATGAATTGAAACCGTTTATAAATTATCCCCAAAGGGAGGCTTAAACTTAGAAAGATGTGACAAGAAGAATTGTAATGTTACATTTGTATCATACATGATAAGCGTGCACAAAAGGGGGATCTATTTAAGCAGACTAAGCATGAAGTATATGTTTTGATACTGAGACGAACCACTTCACCACCAAGCATGATCAACGAGCTGATGACCATGTCTAGCCATAAATCCACCGATTCCTCATTCTTTATTATACCTCAACCTCGACTTGGCATCTCACCATACCAGGATGGACGAGTGCTTCTCTAACCTTACCTGCTCCAATATGGAAACCCGTGTTTCTAGGATGTGATGTGCTAGAGTAACTAGGTATGACCATAACAATCATTGTAGATGTATGAGCACTTGTAATGTTACAGAAGGTGCGAACAGTCAAAGGCAACCACCAGTGCTTAAATCATACATTTACAAGAGCAAAGCATAATGCAACAGTTTGCAAAATTAAATATCAAAACTAAGCTAGGTACTCAATTACTATTGGGTACTTCTTATCAACCATAAGGTGAGAGGTAATTAATAAATGACTGGAGCAATATTGGTTCATTTGCTCAAAGGTTCGAGCATCTGCTGGGTTTCTTAAAGGGTAAAGGTAAATCCCTAGATAATGTGCAATTCCTTCAGCTTTTGGCTGCGAGATGATATCAAATCGAGGCAAGAAAATATCTCGAGAATCATGCAGTGCCAGGCGGGGTGCGTTTTATGTCAGATTTTTATGTAGTGGTGAATGGCATATTGATGCCAGAATGAACCATGAAAAAGCTTGAGTAACTTCTTGACACTAATTGCGATACTCTGTGTGACATTGAATAGCAGTATGAAACACATTTCAATATTCCTAATAAAATCCAAATGCAAGAAAAAGTTACATCACACTAACAATGAATGTGTTTATATATATATATATATATATGCTCTCCTTCTCATCTGCCTGCAGGTCCTGTGCAGTTGTAGTCTTGAAGTACAGCAATGACTTAACAGTGTTTTTCGAGAAAGGATAAAATTTCATCCGAAACTTGTTGAGGCTTCTCTTGTTGTATGAAGTGATGACCATCAATGATGACAACTTCATGGTTGGGAACTAAATTCTTGAATATATTTCCCTCTATGTATTCCCTTGTTCCCCCTGAATCAAATCCGATATCCTTGTCACCGACTATTAGTTTAGCCGGAACTGATATCTTTGACCCTTGCCATGGTGCTAGAAGCTTCCAGTTGCTGTCATCAGATTTAAACACAAATACCAGTCATTAATTGAACAAGACGGCCAGCAAATGAGTATGTGTTAGTATCTTTTGAATTTCTGTTTTGTGCAGAGCACAATTTTGATGGGATGGGAGGCAAAGTCTAAGAATACGCAGATAGTTAATACGTTCCACCTATTCAATGCTGCAGGCAACCTTCAGTGATCTAATAGCTTCTCTCTGATGGGATCGATTAATGGATTCCCCTTCATTTCTCTCCACCTAAAGGGATACAGGTGTCGGTAAACCGATGCCCTGACTATAGGACACTGACTGACCAATGAAGCAGCTAGAGAAGTGTTTGAGGAAAGACGGTATCCATTGCCAAGGAGATGAAAAATGGTATAATCTATAAACAGCAGACACTTAACTTGAGAATAAAAGCAAACTGACCTAATGATCATAGGCAAAAATGATTCGGGCAGGTACTGAGTGTTACGAAATCCAATTGAATTCCTGATTTCTTGGGACCGTAAATTATTGCCAATTTATTTTTAAAGTGTGACGAAGTTCACTTACATATCCATAGCTCGGTAGTAGTTGAAAGCTCCTGTGAATCCAGTCTCCTGGAACTTGTCAGCAAATACTTGTAGTTCTTCTTCTGTAATCCAGGATGGCAAGAATGAAGGGGTTCTTAAATAGTCAATTATCTCCATTCCAGGTGGTGATATGAACAGATCAGTCTGCGTCGTGAGAAGGAACTTCTTCATCACTGTGAGATAATCGTACCTCGAGAATGACCTTTCTGCTCTCCCTGGTTCCTACTCCGACCCAAACCAGTACATAATTTCGTAAGCAATAGTCCAATGAAAAAACAGGGAGATGGGGAAGAGAGTACCTGAAATTGACAAATGTAGAAGTCATTTCCAAACATTTGCTCAAAGGATTCGAGATATTTAACATTGGGAAATCTGGGTGAAATTGGAACAGAAAGAGCTATGACTGCCTTAACTCTATCTGGCCTCAACAGGCTGAGGTACCAAGCAGCCAGTGCTCCCCAGTCGATTCCCACCACGAAGGCCTATACATTATACATAACATAGCCCACAGTCAAATCCACAGAAAGTGATCGAGTCGGACAACGTAGAGAAATAAATGGATAGGGAGAGAGAGACCTGTTGTGCGCCAAAGTGATCAAGCAGGCCAATTAGATCGCCAACTACGTGGAAGAAAGTGTAAGAAGAGGGGGTGAGAGGTGAATCAGAGTCTCCATATCCTCTCAAGTCAGGTGCAACCACATGGTAGCCATGGTTGGCCAAGAAGGTAATCTGATGGCGCCAAGCATACCAGATTTCTGGGAAGCCATGAAGCAGCAAAACAAGCGGTCCAGTCCCTTTTTCAGCTACGTGGATCCATATACCATTCGTTTTGATTCTTTGGTGATTCACATCCAACATCATCTCCATCATGGGATGCTTGAACTAACAGATTTATCACTAAGTGGGGATGCTCCTCCAGCAGGAGCAAACCCTTTAGAAATTGGTTAAGAATGGGCACCACTATACCAGCCAGGTTTTCTGGATCATGTCCTCTTTCCACCAGCTTGACCTTGTCTTGGGAGCGTTGCAAAGAGAATAATTTTCAAACTAGAAAGTTCAACGATTTCGAGAAGGAAACTGATCTGAGGAAAAAGGCAGTGTCATATCTTCTTCAATCTTGACCGGAAAAAGTCAATGGTAGTCGGTAGATGAAGCCCTGTTTGATCACCTTAAAATTATAAGTCATTTTCTCCTGTATTCTCAAATAAAATAATATTATACTTAAATTTAAAAAAAAATTCTTCTTTTTTAATCACATTAAAAAAAAACACACAATTCCAAAAATTAAAATCTCAAATAATAGGGGGTCAAACGGGGTGAAATTAACCCATCTTACTCTAATGATTCAATGAAAATAAATTTTAGAATAGTGAATTTTTGAAATATTTGTAGAAAAATACTTTGAATTTATAAACAAAATATTTTAAAGTGAAAATGAGTGATTGTAAATGAGTTTGAAAAAAAAAAAAAATTGAAACAATGATAGACAAACAGTACGTTTATCTTCCTGCTGCTCTTGTGGGTTGTGGGACAAAAATTTCTTATGTTACATGGCAGAAACACAATGAAATAGAATTCTTGATTTCATTCTCATGTGTTTGTGAGTTCAATTTACTATACAGTACACAATTTTGTGGTTTTAACAGGATGAGGAAGGGGTTGAACAACTGTATCGAACTAAAAATTTAGCAAGCAATGATCTTTATTAAAGCATATAATTTTGCAATTGACATCACATTAACACTTTCTGTGTATTGCACTTCACATAGAGAAAAGGCATCATCCATTGACCAATTAGAAATACATCGCATTCTCATTGGGCATATTGTAAACACTGGCCCCCAAGCCCAGAAGCTGGAAAAAAAAAAAAAAAATTTGTTGAAGCACAATTATCTTTCCAGCCCACCCTTGCCCAAGCCCA